TTGTGTCTATGCTCAGTGAAACATTGTCTATAGAACAATAACTAGACTGATTATATAGGATTTTTATCATTTCACCTTCCACATTAATGTCCTGGATTGCGAAGCGGAGGATGATAGTCCAGATCATTCCAAGAGTCATCTTTACATTACCGTCAACAATCTCTGAAAGGGGAACAAAATCAGATTTGACTTGAGTAAATATTAACATTTCGATTATCACTCTAACATCTATGTTTGTGAGACCATGTTGGGCAGCTGTAGTATATTCATTAAACAGGAAGGATTACCTTCAGCACCAATGGACACCAGTTTCACTCCTTTGCTCGTGATGTATTCCAACGCTTTGTTGACGTTAGCAATCTTATGAAACCGCATCTTCCCTCTGTCTGGCTTGGGTAACCTCTCTCCTACAAATAAAAACATTTATGATGGATCCAGCTTTCTATGTAACAATATTATCAAATTAAAGTAGAGATAATGAAAATATGATGTTATAAAATAAACATTGTCCTTTAGTGATCTCACCTGAGATAACTTCCAGAAGCAGCATGAGTTTTAGTCCATTCCTGAAGTCCTCCTCAATATTTTCAATTTGAGTTCCAGCTTTCCTCAGGTGAGAGTTACACCAGGCTGTGAAGGTCTAACAGGGAAGAGAGAGCAGTCAATTAAAAGAGGATTTTATGAAATGTCATCATACAAACGTAAAAATTATTATGTGCATAACATCTCTGCACTTCCTTGCATTACAGGAGAAAAAGGAGGAGAGGAGAAATAAGAATATTTATTAAAAAAAGCATATAACATGTTAAAAAAAGAGTAGCGGTATTAAAAGCTATTGAACAATAACTTTACTTTAAATGTATATTACATGACATTCCCAGTGCAATGTCACTAAGTGTATGAACTCATGTATTGTACTGGTACTCAAAAAGGTTGCTGTATTTGTAATTAACTTGAGTATTAAATACAAATCAAATAATAAATGACAATGTATATCAACGGTTCAACTTAACAATAAACTGATTTACACATCTAATGTACGTATTCATGCATTGAAAATCGTTATCCAGTAATATAATGTACATGATTTTGATAAGCCATGTGGTATTTTAAGTATATTTTGAACCAACACTTTTACTTGAGTATGACTTTAAATTCCAGACTTTTACTTGTAATAGAGTATTGTTACAGTGCAGTATTGCTGGTTTTACTTCAGTAGAATATCTGAGTACTTCGTCCACCACTGTATATTTCTGTCTGCAACAGACCTAAACAAAGTGAGGCAGCTAACAGCTTAACAAGTCTTCACTACTAGACTATGTACAAAATCAATGTTAACCTCTTTGTCCACTGCTAAATTTATGGATTAACCTTCAGTGACCCATTAGTGTCGAATTTCAACTTTTTCTTCTTCTAGTTCCAAAGCTAACAACCAAATGTACTCCAGGTGGGGTACTAAAATACTGTAAATCAAGTTAAGACAGGATCATTGTCTTTCTTCTCCTATTTTTAAAAAGTCTGTCAATAGCGAGCCACAGAGTTCACAGACGCTCAACACTGCTCGGATGAAAGCTGCGAGCCGACCACAGAGCACATTCCGACCGATACAAGGTGTTAAATTTAGACCGCTCTGCTGTGCCTCACGATAAGAGACCGGGAGGGAAAAACGTCCAAATGTCTCGCCGTGTCAACATAAGTGAAAATGTCACGTGGATACAGAGTTTTTTCGCCTCACATCACTTTCTGTCATTAGTTTGCCACTTAGAATGTGATTGGTTACAGCTGCAGGGTGATAGCTTTATCACAGTATGCTGTTATTCCAGGTCTCACTCATTACAACGCTAAAGCATGAAGACAGGCAAGCGTGGATTAAGGATGACGGCATTATAAACAATTATTTATTAAAGAAAAATAAATGTAAGGGGTATGCCAGAAGGATGGATGTCTTTCATTGTTTTAAAAAAAGTTAGCTTTTGCCACAATAGAAAGAAAATCTTAAGCTACTATCAGTAATTAAATGTTCGTATTTAGTATATTATATTAAATATTTGGTAAATTGTCTGTTATGTGAGCCAAGTGCCAGACTTGATATTGTGCTCTTTTAATCTCCTATGTCACCAAAACAAATATATTTGTCCTGGAGCTTTTTTGAGTACTTTTACTATCAGTGGTTGAAGTATGATGATTATATTTAAATATATATAATTTATAATATAATATTCATATATATTATTCTTTTGGCACTTTGTTTGGGCTGTTTTGAGCAAATAGTACAATAAATGTGTATTCTTATAGCCTTTGAGAATACAAGAGCAAATTTGTCAAATGCTTTAATCAGTTAATAATTATTTATAATAAATTGATAGCGTCATTTGACATTACTTTTAGATAGTTTAGCACATGTTCCAACTGCAAGTTTTAAAGATCTCATGAACACATGAGTTTATGGGGGAACCTGCCAGACGCTTAGGCTTTTTCTTTGGGTGCCAGTGCAAGAACATAATATTAGAGGCTTTGGAGTAAAGGCCATCACATTCCACACTGAGTGAGTCCCCAGGGTGAGTGTGACATTGAACTGCTGCCCTCCTTGTTAAAAAACGTGGCTTGCCGGTTCTCCAAATTTGACTCAGTCACAGACTCCTGCTGCTCACTTTCCAAGCCCCCTACTTCACTCTTCAACACTACAGACCAATGACGATTAAGGCTAAATATATTTATGAATCACATTCAGCGAGGACCAACCCTGTCACTGAACTGGCTGATGCCTTTGGGGCCTCACTAGGTCATAGGCTGGCATGCCATGTCCAGGAGGATGGAAAATACATGAGAAGCGGCTGTTTAACATAAAAAAGACTCTGAAACATTCATGTTAACTGAGGTTATATCTGTCGGAGTCAACTAAAAGATTCAAAAAGGTCTCATTAATATCCAACATCCGAAAGTAGGATTTGAAATAAGGCCACTGCACCAGAGATTGGATTAGATACAAATATTTAAGGTGACTAATAGTGGCCCCTAATGAAGCAAACATAAGCCTTGTGGCAACAATAGTGTCAAGCAGGGGTTTATAACAAACTAGTCAGACACAGAACACCTTTATCACCTCCCATCATAATAAAAAAACACTATAGCAATGTTGCTGTATGCGACCATCACTGGTGCTTTATGAGTTCTGATTAGTGTGAACAGCTGTTCCAAGAACTAAACCAGTCTCCACTAAGTAACTCCAAATTATGATGAAAATATAAACACTGGAAAGATTGTTGTGTATATACAAGGGACCTGTTGCTGCCTTGTGTTACCAAAAATACAGTTTTGTCATCCCTGTGGGGGCCACAGGAGGTTATGGGCATGGAGTTGATGGCCTCCAGTTGTGCGAAGAGCTGCAGTTTAAGGCCAACTTTTAAAGCCCTATGCCCAACTGACAGTGTGGGAGGCCGAGGCTATATTGAGTTGAGCTGGTACATTATTTCTGCGTGGTTTCTATAAACAAAAGAATTCCGCACCAAGGACACTGGATTAACCCTACTATAATACCTTTTGGTCCCGAGGTTAAAATTAGATGCAGCGTCCATTCTAATCCCAAGAGCGTCATCATGTGTTGGAAGCATCTGTTGACAGCTCGCATTCCGCGCGTATCAGTGGAGAGGCAGCAGTCTGGAGAGCCGCTGGAGGCTATTGTTAGCAGCCTGGTACCCGCCGCATCCGTCCGTCAAGCCGCCCTCCCTGCATGCAACCCCGGCTGCGTCTAATCAGCAGCACGTAACTAGAACCACACAGGAAGTTACCTAATGCTGTCCTTCATACTAAAACGTCACGTGAAAATTCCGGTTATTGGGTGAAAGTTAACAAAAAACATAATTCATTCCTTAAAATACTGCATTTCGCGATTTATTTTTGCAATATTGCCTGCGCCAATTACCGAGTATGTGAAATACACGCACTAATAACATTATAAGTCTGTCAGAGATAACTAAGAGTAAGACTAACCTTTGTTGGAAGACTTGCAAAAGTTGATGCCGTTGCTTCATTGTTAAAATGTCTACTTTAATACGGGGTTGAGTAGTGTCAAGGATGGTAACATTTAAACAATTGAAAGTGGTTGTTATTTTTAATGGTTTTAACCTTACATTGACATTAGCTACTAAGAGTGTCTTCGGTTAGCGCCTTTTGCCACGTAACGTTGCACGTACACACACAACTAGGACAAAATAGAAGATAAGTGCTGCAATAACTTGCCTCTATGGTATGACAAACATATAATCTATTTTATTCGCGCTACGTTTAATAAAAAAAACGCTTCTGAAAATGTTAGGTTCAACATCGGTTATTTTATTTTGAAACTCTTAGCCGGATGTACATTTCTTTACCAAGGTCTGCTTGCCGCAAATTAGTCTCAGAGCGGTTTTGAAACTATATTGTCCGACAATGTATACCCAAATAACTGGAAAAGTATGTGAAAATCAACTGCTGGAAATTCAATACACTCTTGTAATGTGGTTAATTTTGAGTTATTTATTAGCCTGCATAGTTTTATCTCTTTCCATTAATAACAGATAGGATTCATGTATTATTTTTTAAACAGATTGTTCTCTTTGACTTACTTTCCTCTGCTGTTGTTCCCATGCAGGGTCCAGTAGATTGTCCCTGTCCCACTCATCCTCCTGGTTCATGTATTGATACTCGTCGTAGCCGTTATCATAGTGCACCGTGGTCTCCATCTGAGTCATCGTCATCATACTTGCTGTTCCTCCGGAGCTGGATTAACTGTAATTCTGAGGACAGAATAATTCCCTGACTTTCTTCTCTCTGAGCTGCTGCTTTCTCTCTCACACACTCTTGCCCTTGTCCTCCCGACCTGACAGACGTCTGGCCCTGGTTGCCACAGATGCACAAGCGACAGTATCTTTAGTACTGGACAGTCACGTGATGCCTTTCATACCTTCCCCCAAAATCCCCACCACCCACCCATTCAAACAGCAGCAGGAAAGTTCATGTACTTAAGATCAATATAAGTCTTTATTGTAGAAAAAAAAACAATGTCAGACTTTCCTATGAGACAAAAAAATAACACACAATTGGCTGAGACATATAAATAAAATGTTTCTTCCTTGGAAAACTCATATTCTCACACTGAAAACCAATGGACACTGTTAAAAACCTACCAGAATCATTCACTCTATAAAAAACTGGATATGTGAACCCGTCATGGCACAATGCGGTGTATCCAGCCCACTCTTCTTTTTCCATAATATTGTTGCTCTTATTATTCAATGATTGGTTGTTGCTTACACAACACCGGGACAATCAGGATGATCAAATACAAAATTCATGCAGCATTGAGATTTACATTACTTTGTCTGTGTCCAGGTGTTAAGTTCACCAAATCTAAAAATATCTCTTGGTGTGACGATGTAAATGACTTACAAAAAATATCTAAAACTAGGTTCTGAGGCAGACCAATAAGGTATGTGATATGTCAACATAGATGCAGCCATACCATTTAAATCAGTTCTGATAAGTGACATGATTTACAGGAAATAAAGTGTTTCTTTCAACCTACAAAACTACCCTGAATTGTATTTATATATTTTTTGGAGTGACCATTTTGTTATGTACTGTGTGTCATATCATTTGTTCCGCAGAACACTACCTGTAATTTCGAAATTAAAGTTATTGGAGGAGGAGACTGCATTTAAAACTAGAAAAGAGAATATTTAAGTTAAACTACGATATGCTTTTGCAATCCCTCTAAATAATACGCCTGTTTGAGAAAAAAAAACAGTTTTAAAGATGGTGCATGTAGTTTTACAATAAATTACTTTATTCATTAACTCTGTAAATGAATAAAGTAATGAAATGAATCAGACGGGCCTGTTAAAAATGTTATCTGTGCTTTTAAGGTTCAAACTGCCAGGGAAAGGCTGCTCCCTGCAGCCACTACTGAACGATAATCTCACCACAGAACTAGAGTTCATGCAGAGTGCAAATACAGACACATGGGAGTAAAAATTGCGCAAGTGTTTCTCCAAACCATCCAACAATCTGAAGTTATCTGTCACAGCGTTGCTAATACTTTGCAAGGGTCTACTCTAGACATCAACCCAAACAATCTCTGGGCTCAGAGCACAACAGCTGGGGAAAAAAGGGAGTGCTTGTAGAGAGGGAGTGAGACATTTGAACACCGTGTATCCATTCGCATCATCTGTGATCTGCAGCGGTGTTCTTTGTTCCTGGGCTGTTCACAAGGAAGGAGAGAAAGGGCCAGGGAGGTGAAGAGGTTTGCCTTTTTCATCAGTCCGTTTCATTAAGGGAACAAGGTCGCCGCCATTCCTGGCCTCGTTCATGGATCCATTTGTTTGATACTAAAGACAAAATAAAAAGATAATAACAATTGACATTATCTATTTTTCCTTATTCAGTCCTAAACAGGTCCAGTTCAGCTATAACACCATTTTCTAGCGGGTTACTCTAACCCCACTGGGTGCGGTCGATGAAAACAGTACAGCTGTTAACCTTTCAGATTTAAGATATGTACTTGTGTCTTACTGATGGTTTTATAAGGGATTGGAAAAAGAGGAGCTTACCCCACTTGTTGCCCACCAGCACTGGACAGGCTGCATGTCGGGTGCTGTAGTCTCCCTCCCCGCTGGGGAACAGATTATACCAGAACACTGCCGAGCCCTACACACAAACAACAGGCAACACAGGTTAGCAGGGCTTCAAACCCTTCAGGGATAGCCTGGAAGTCAACATGTAGCCTCAGGTTCCTGAAATCATTCCCACAGATTTTTGACAGTGGAAATTATTAACAGGGAGTAATTACAAATGTGTATGTGGACTAAACATTTGTATTCAATGACAGTAATGAACAAATAAACAATTTCATATAGTACATGATCTAGTTTTGCATGTAAAGGTAGCCCTTAGAAGACTGTGTTGTGTGTAATAGAAAAAGAATATAAAACTAATTGGTACGTGTCCTTACTTGGAGGCAAAAACAACTTTCACACTATTTTGTACAACTTTATTGTGTTATTAATTTATATATTAGTTATAATGCAAAACAAACAAAACACCTGGGGATTTGTTGGCTTTATAATATGACCAACTCAGATACAGCTACTCAGTCAGTTATATATTTGTGTAAAGTAGTAGTGGAACATTAGCGGTTACCTTTTTGGGCCAAACTGCTGCACCAACATCTGGGAATACTGTGGCTCCACCTGATGCTACATCACTCATCTACAACAGAGACCGAGAGAGGAATAGTTCAGTCTCTCAAATCAAACAATACAAATAGTAGTGGAAAATAGTTTGTGGAACTGTTTGAAGAAAATACAATGCAGTTTTCTCCCATTAATCATTTTTACAGCAAATGTAACATCATTCTCATTGAATCACCATAGCAAGTCCTGTTTTAACTCAGATGTAACTTTGGTGACAGCAAAGATTAAGCCCACAATCAGAGGCTAGGGATCGACGTAAATGTATAATACCAGGCTGTCACACTGAGCAAAACCAAAGAGGAAAAGTTATGTTGAGCTTCATTCTCACATTTCATTGGCAAGTATGAGACCGCTCCGTAGAGAAGATTCAAACACCAGTATTTCTGTCAAACATTTAAAACAGCTTAGTGGAAGTTCAATCTAAAGTTCAAAACCATTGAATGTACTCACATAGAAGAGCCATGTTGCTATGCGGTTGCCAGTTCCTAGCTCCTTAAAGGCATCTGGCTCATCTTTCTGTGGAGAAAGTCAACGTCACATTTAATGTCCTGCCATTTAAACCTTACTGTACATCTATAGAAAATGTACTTGTGTTAAATACAAAGGTTTCCTTACCCTTCCAAAGTCAAAGTGTGGTTCGTATTGACCTCCAACGCCATAGTTTGCAACCTAAAGAACAATCAAACATATGAATTAAGTCACACAACTACAAATGAGGATTCTATTAAACTAAAACACAAACAGTATGGGAAGGTTGATATTAAAATGATATGTTACCTCTATATAAGAACTTTGTGGATTCAGTAAGGTCTTGCATTTAGAAAAAGGATAGAAATTCAAGAAAACTGTGCTCAATGTCCTTCAGCTAACTCTTTACCTGCAGCTCTTCTGCAGTGTCCATTTCCAGTCCGGTGAGATCTTCAATTCTCTGGTTGATCACGTCAATAATTGGATCTTCATAGCCAGTGAGCCAAGCGCTGGAATACAGAAGGGAAACAGAATGACTGAGAAAGCAGGCAGACGTGCTATACGGTATGTATGTCAGTGAGGCACATATCTGTCCACTAGATGGTAGTGAAGGTTTCTTTTGAAATAGACGGCTGCAAGATATGTCATGCTGAAAAGTTGCCATGAAAAGCTTAGAAAGAAAGTAAAGTTAGGCAATACATCACATGATAGAAAAGGGAAATAGAGATTTGAAGAACATGAAATAGAGAAAGCTGGCCAGTTTCAGAATGTCCAATCAGCTCAGGGTACAGGGTGTTTTAAACTGTGTGAGCACTTGGGAATGTGCCTGGTACAGGACTGCGGCTAAATATTATCATGGGTTTAACTTAACACAACCGGCCTTTCATACTCACTCATGCACACCAGTCTAAGAGTAGACTCCGATATAATACGCTTTTAACCAAGCTAATGAACTTTATTGTGAAATATGAAAAAATGACTCATCTATAGTTCTGCAGAGCACATGATAACATTCACACTGGCATTTCTTCTGATGATAAATTAGAAGCCACCATTTCTAGTAAAAATCCTTTCACATTAAACATTATAAAAAAATGAAAGATACAATTTATATGAAGTTACTGATGACGTGAGCAACAAAGATAGAATTGAAACATCTCAAATTCAGGGGATTTTTCTGAAGACATTACAAAGCCTATGAGATTATTCCTACCGCCCTGTTTTATGGACGTGTTCCTGAGAATTACAGCACATCAACCCTAGGATATGTGTGTGTATGAGAAAAGCAGTGAGATGAGTCAGCTTTTTTTTTTATCAAGAGTTTGTGTTGATAATAACTCGTATTTTTGAAGGGATGCTGGGCCAAATGTGAGCTAATACATTTTTGCCTGATGTGTTGCACAAGTTCATTGAGCGGTCAAAGTCTTCTGAGTTCTTTCGCCTGTTTGTCTGTTCTCTGTATCACTTTAACAAACTGAACTGGAGAGCAATCCTAGACGCATGTATCCATATAGTGAAGCGAGGTGAACACTCGGAAACCTGTTGAATGATTCCTCACTGAATTTGGAAATGCATGCTGGCTAACATGTACACATACAAAAACATCAAAGGGACACCACACCCTTAAACCCACGTAGACACGGCACCGATACTTTAATTATCAAGAACTGTAAAACCAAATAATGTGGGTTTATTGCTGGCTTGGTATTTTTAAGGGTGGGTCCAACAGGCAATGTATCTATTGAAGTGGAACAGTCATTCATACACAGGGCGGCACTTTTCTAACATATATAACAATCTCTCTTTGTACATTATGCAGCATACATTTATCTGTGTTTTTAAGCTTTTGCGTCCAGACTCAGGCTGAGAAGTGTTTAAATCTCTTTTGCTGATATGTTAGTTGCAGACGCATAGTAAACCATAGCAGCTGAATTAAGCTCATACAAGAATGGTTACAGATGAATGACTGGAAAGAGCAATGGGGAATAGAGATTCCAAATAACCGAGTCGGGGGAAAAACTATCTGAAAATGAAAATCCATGAAAATCCCCAAATGACTGGGTTAACTGGTAGTAACAACGAATATTCAACTACACCTAAAAACAACTGAGAATTGTTTATTTTTGTTTATATATTTTTAAGCTCAATCTGTTAAACAAATGAAAACTTCCTCTAGTGTTTTTTAGGTGTAGCTTAACATTTTCTTCCATTTCAGAGATTAAGACAAAGAAAAGAACGGAGGATGAGGAAGTATCTCCTCGAGCTCTCCTGGTCACCTGTTACCCCTTACCTCTTGGAGACTCTGTACTGGGCCGTGGTTAGTGTCCCGGTAAGGGGGTCATGCACCGTGGCTCGCCTTAACTACAGTAGTTACAGCCGCACAAGGACACGGAGGTCGAGGTAACGTAGATAAATAAAGGAAAGAAAAGGGGATGATGGAATGTGATACCCACAAGGCAAGGCAAGGCAAGGCAAGGCAAGGCAAGGCAAGGCAAGGCAAGGCAAGGCAAGGCAAGGCAAGGCAAGGCAAGGCAAGGCAAGGCAAGGCAAGGCAAGGCAAGGCAAGGCAAGGCAAGGCAAGGCAAGGCAAGGCAAGGCAAGGCAAGGCAAGGCAAGGCAAGGCAAGGCAAGGCAAGGCAAGGCAAGGCAAGGCAAGGCAAGGCAAGGCAAGGCAAGGCAAGGCAAGGCAAGGCAAGGCAAGGCAAGGCAAGGCAAGGCAAGGCAAGGCAAGGCAAGGCAAGTTTATTTATATAGCACTTTTCAACACAAGGCAATTCAAAGTGCTTTACAAAAAATGAAAGAGATTAAGAAAATGGCATTTAAAATCAGTCATTAAAAAGAAAAGCTAATAAAATAAACATTAAAAGAAAAAATACATGGATAAAAGTTACAGTGCTGTCAATTAAACATTAAAAGAAAAAAGTACATGGATAAAAGTTACAGTGCAGTCTAAGATATGAATAGTTCAATTAAAAGCAGCGACAAAAAGAAGAGAAGTAAAAGGAGGAAAGAGAGATAGAGAGAGAGAGAGAAAAGAAAGGCAGATGTGGTCACTACTTGTTAATGTTATTCTTTAGAAGAGCCAAGAGAGTGATCCATGAGGCAATGTTCAAAACCAAATTAAATTGCAAAGTAAGAAAGTGTATCAGTAGGTTATCAATGAGTGCCTCAATATACCTCCTGGCTCAAAAAAAGCCACTATGTTAATATCAGCTAGCAGAAAAATAAAAATAATGTTCCCCTTTCTGTGGAAGACTCAAACACTTTCATTCTCCCTCAAAAAATATAAATCCATTAGCTACGAAAGAAAAAACGTTTTAATAGTTCTTTAATGTCTGTTTCACTGGTTAAAGCAGCAACAAATAATATATTTATATTTATTGACCAATAAAAGTCCACCAATGGTTATTTTTGTTGTAAAGCTTTGATCATTATCAGCTGGATTGTTTGATTCAGCTCAAGAGCCTTCAAGGTTTGGAAGGGCGGAGAAATGGAGGGGTGCAGACGGACGGTACAGAGGAGAAATGGGGTGAGTTTTTGAAGGAGAAGGAGGAGGAAACCTCTCTTTCTCCCTCTCAGCTCTCTCCTATATCCTCTGCTGTTGGCGGCTCCTAACTATTCCTTACCTTTTGCTGATCCGGTATGGCGCTGTCTCCAGCACGCCTGTGATGGGGTTGGAGATGGTGGCCCTGCGCAGCTGTGAAGCCAGGGACATGATTTACCCACACACACATGCAAAGATGTGTGCCTGTGTGCTTGCCTAACGAGCCTCACAGCCTTGATATCCCACTCCTAAACACGCTCAACTAGTGTTGTCAGAATTATCGTTTTTTAAAACTTGTTATATTTATCTTTTAATAAAAAACTCAATGTATTTCCCTTAATATTGTGTCAATTTCCCCATGTAATATCAAAAAGAATGTATTGAATACCAATTATTTTTAAAGGTATGGTGAAAAAGTTAGAAACTCGAATATCATGACAACACACTACTGAAAGTAGGGCTGGGCAATATATTGATATAATATCGATATTGTGATATAAGACTAGATATTGTCGTAGATTTAAGATATCATGATATTGTAAGTAGGGATGCCAGCGATTATTCGATTAATCGTTACAGTCTCCATATTCGAATATTATTTTTAAAAATCGATTTTATTTATATATTTTTTTATTATTATTTATGTTTTTTTTCTGGCTTAGTTTCAACCAAAATATAGACTAATGCTAATAATAGTAATAGTATTAACAATTGTAAATGGCCATTGGTCACACCACCAGTTTGTTTTACTGTAAACTTGGAGGAAGCCTGCGTGCAGAGCAGACAGCTGCTGCAGCACGCTACACACCGCCCCCGCCCCCACCCCCACCCTCCCTCACACGTGCGACTAAAGATGAACAAAGCGGCAGGTAAAAAGAGTTCCTCCTCGTGGAACAATAGGCTAATTATTGAATGTATTTCAATGCTGCTATTATTAATACAGGCGACATGATGGTGGTTTATTTTTTGTTATTGTCTAAAGTGCCTGCCATTGCCTTTATTTGAAGATGCGCGATGCGCGCACAATTTATTTATTGCAATGCTGCTATTATTAATAATACAGGCTACAGCTTGTATTAATAATAGCAGCATTGCAATAAATATTATTATAGCAATTTATTTATTGCAATGCTATTATTAATACATTATCTCCAAATAAAGGCAATGGCAGGCACTTTAGAAAATAACAAAAAATAAACCAACATCATGTTGATGTTGGTTTATTTGTCGTTTATTTTGTTTGTACTGTTAAACATGTTCCAGTAAAGAAAACAACGGAATTCCTTTTGTCTGAGTTTTTTTTTTTTGTCCCGCGGGATGGGGGGGGTCGGTCGGTCGATTAATCGATTATTATTCGCCAGGGCTGCCGAATAATCGATTTTGATCATGGTCAGTTTCTGGCAACCCTAATTGTAAGTGTTGTCTTTTCCTGGTTTTAAAGGCAGCAATATAGTAAAGTGATGAATGTTCTTAACTTATCAGACTATTTGAAAAGCCTTTCTAATGTATGCCTTTAACCGATGATTTTTCTATCAAAATTGACATTGTGTAAATATTTTGTGAAAGCTTCAATATCGATATTAAGGTATTTGGTCAAAAACATCATGATGTGATCTTCTTCATACCACCCAGCCCTAAATGAATGATCCTATTATGTCACGTGGAACTGTTAAGTTACGTTTTTATACATACATCATATGGCATCATTGGAGCACTTGATCTACAGAAAAATGCTTACTCTTGGCTTCGCCAGTTGCTTGACCTTCTCGATTTCTGTTTCGGAGAGGATGTCGAGGTAGCGGACAATGTAGGGGCGGTCCCACTCATCTTGCTGTTTGACAGGAGCCAGCACATATTTGGGGTTGTGATTGTTGTCATAGTAACGACAGAACAGCCGGCTCTGCCTGCGGGGGGTCTGGTTAACAGAAAAAAAAGGACATTTAAGTTATGTGTATTTATTTACTTAGAAATTATGTTTTTGTGCATCTTTTTGTTTCCCTCACCATTTTGATGCCCTCCCCACGACAAAGCATCTCGTACTTCTTCCTCTCTGGGATCTGATGATTCGAGACCTTCTTGCTCTTCTCTTTCTTTTCGGATGTTTCCTTTTTACCTGGTTCCTTCCCTTCAGCCTCATCAGCCTTTCTCTGCTTCTCCAACTGGAACTCAAAGTACTTCAGGTTGCCATTGGCGCGCTGATGCTCTGAGTCTAAAAATGACAGACCAACAGAAATAATGGTGGTGTGTACAAATAGTGAGGACTGCAGCACCTGTCACCTGAGAATATAACAGCCCTGCAATCAAAATAACTGAGTTTCCAACACGTCATAATTACATTTTTACTATTTATTCAGTCTGACCTTATCCACTTCTCAGAAACAAGATGTTCAAACTGGAAAGATAACAATGGTGTGGTCTAGTCGGATGCAGGTTAGAGAGTTCAATATTATATACTATTCTATAATAAAGTATTATTCAGCGTCATTACTATAAATTAGGGTTGTGCATTACTCGTATTTTAATCTCGATTAAGATTTTGGCTTGCAACTATTACGAAACCAATGTAATTTATTTATTTATTATTATTATCTCTTATTTTTTTTGGTTTTCCAGTTGAATTATACTTAAAGTTCAGGGTAATCAACTGTTTTTAATAATCGTTATATCAATTATTGACCAAAAATATAGTCGTGATTATGATTTTTGCCATAATCGCACAGCCCTATTATAAATACATACAATTAAACAAATGGAACAGTTCATTTCTAAGAAGAATTGTTACCTAGATCTCTGAATTCCCTGGACAGAAGACCATTTTGTTTCATGACAAATCTACAAGCAATCCAAAATGAGACCAATATCTGACTGTAGGTGATTATAAAATATATATTATATCGGGGGGGAAATGTCACATGGATAATATGGATAATATGGCTTAGACCAGGGGTGTCAAACTCAATTTCATCGCGGGCCACATTCGCATAAAGGTTGCATTCAAAGGGCCGGTTGTAACTATATAAATATATAATATATATATATATAAAATAATGTATTATATTACATTATTGCCTCTGAATTGGATTATTATCGGATAGAATAATAACTTAGTAATAATAATTGCAAGTCTCTTCAGTGCACATGTCACAAAACGAGATGCATTGTGGGACATGTAGTTTATGGGCAACCTGCTTCTGTAAACCTTATAATAAACATATTATATTCTTTGCAAGCTCTTGCGGGGACACATAAAATGAAGTCGCGGGCCGGATTTGGCACTCGGGCCTTGAGTTTGAGACCCCTGGCTTAGACTGATATGCATGTGGTTTAGAAATGTTCGTATGTAGATAAGTTCAAGACTCATATGCTGTCGCTTTCAATGTAATTTTCAAAATGTACCATAATGACTTAATTCTATCTATTTGGATACAAAAAATACGTGCTTTCCTTTGTTCATAATATGATGCTGTGTGCTCGGTAAAATTAAGGCTATTTCCGCATCCTTACAATCTTATCCAAACCAAAATAAAGTCTGGTGTCTGTGCATGTTTGTGAAAAAAAAAGTGCATTATTTCCTGTTTGATCCTATAAACACAACATATCTTGAGCAGACATTTTAGAATCCATACACTAACACATTGCAAAACATGCCTCCCAGAATACTTTTGAAAGTTGGAAAATACTTCATAGAGTGGTGGAGGGACTCACCCAGTTTTAGGAGCTGCTTGGTGTAATCCAGGGCTCGATCTATCTCCCCCTGCTGGTAGATGGAATAGCTGAGGTAGTCAAGCACTGTCACCTTATCTATATTGGACTCCTCTCCCTGTTCAAGCTGTTTCAGAGCCTGGGACATCCACAGCTCGGTGTGGTAGTAATCCACATCGGAGTAGGCGATCTTCCCCAGCTCATAACAGTCCTCCACTGTCATAAAAGTCTTGTGCTTCGCTCCTAGCATGCAGAGGACACAAGGAAACAACAAGAAGGTGTTTACTGTGACTTTCATCGCACTTAGTCAGTTAATTGTATGCTTCCTGCTTTGGAGCTTTTATCAGGTAGGTGTGGTATGCAGATTCAGAGCCCTTACCAGGTAGGTCTCCTGTAGCCATGGTGTTGGCAGTAAGTCTGTAAGTGTCCTGTAACCTGAGGAGGGCTTTAGCTGCCCCAGTCTGGTCCTCATCTGTGGGGAAGTACTGTCTCTGGATGGTCAGGTTGGAAACAAATCCTGAGAGAAAGACATGAGAAACCCAGAGAAATTAATAGTAAGATTATTTATAGGATCATTTACAATCAGTCAAGTGGACCATTAATACTCTCTCTTCAATCAGAGTGACTTTGATCTTGAGTGGGAGGATTGAAGTTTGATCAAGACATGTGACCAACATGTATGAGTTATATTCTACCTCAATAACTCATGTTAGGGTGACTGAGCAAGGCATCCGATTTCTCCTTCAATATAACAAGTATGAATATACGTATGAATCTGAGCGAGCATATAGTTGCTTTGGAATAAAAAAAAAACCTTTGCACTCTCTATAAATGTTGCTGCACTAATTAGGGAGTTCCAAGATTACCCAATCTCTACAAATGTATAGAAATCCCTAGATCAAATCAACATCAAAAAGTATTGGAAAATCGTCTTTTCTGTTGGTTACCTTTACTTGGTTTTCTAAACTTTTGGCACTTATCACTATTTGAAACAGGTCTGCTTTATCCATACCGTCAGTGGTGTCACTGAGCACCAGGCTCTCCAGCATCGCCCACTCTGTGTTCAGCCTCTTCATCAGTTTGAAGGCATTGACCGGGTTTCCCAGGTAGCCCTCTGGGTCCAGTGTGGCTGCGGCTGACATTGATTCCATCTTCTCAGCCCACCTATCACAAGGATGGTAATACACAGTTAGATGCATTCCTTACATATGAATCCAGAAGCAATACTATCTTAATATTCAGAAACACTGAGACAAGTTTCCAAAAACTAACACTTTAATCTTCTCAAGCTTGGTCTCCTCTGCTCTGATGTAGTCCTTTAGGGAGGTGACGAGGTCTTTTTCTGTGTATAACAGATCTGTCATCTGGCCTGAAGAAAACAAATGAGATACTTCACCATCATTACTGCAATGATTCATAACAAAGGTCATCACTCATCTCATCCCAATGTCGTGACATCTCTTGCGTCGTCCATAAGTGAGATGCAACAAAAGTCAGCAAAGGGAGAATTTTTCTTAAAAAAGGAACATATATTGCTTGATGTTTTTACCTATTGAGGTGTAGAAGTCATTGCCGGCTGAGAGCGACTGCAGACAGTTTAGCAACAATAGACACAAACATGGCAGCTCCATCCTGGAGAAGCGATGAGAGAATGAGATACATTGTTAAATAGATTAACTTGGACATTGAATCATGCATATTAAAACAATAATATCAAAAAGGAGAATGGCAGAATGGACTGCATTATTTACATACCATACCAAATTCCCCAAGTACGACTTCATACTAGGGATGTCATAATACCAGAAATAAATTAGTCACTATCAATACCAGAGAAACTATTTTCAACCTCCACGATGTATCATATTGATGCTTCCCTTCACTCCCTCCAGTGCTGCTCCTACTGAATTGAAAACCTTGTTGTTAGCACCATTTAAGAGCGGACAATCCACAGACACTTTTCATAAATGTTCCTAAAGGAAACTGATGACATCAAGGTCTGGGGATTGTCCATAGTAACTGGGTATTATTTCTGGCAAGCTGTTGAGCGAGTAGAAGTCTCAGCAGCAGCAGCTATCTCAAAACCTGGGAAAAACTATGTGCAAGTATTAGTGGGTAAGTTGGGAGAGTATTTGGAATGTTACTTGTGAATTGGGTGTACTGACCATTTAGCTTACAGAGAAAAAATGTATATATATTAAGAGAGAAAACGAGTGATGAAAACTTGAAGAATCTCCTTGGCAAGACCAAGTGCTACCGAGGTGTCCCTGAGCAAGGCACTGTTCCCTACACTGCTCCCCGGGTGCCGTTCATAATGACAGCCCACTGCTCCTAACACTAGGATGGGTCAAATGCAGAGAAACCATTTTGTTACGTAGTACCTGTACTACGTAATGACAATACAAGTGAGAAAAATAAATTTAAAAAAAGAATTAAAGAATTAAATCTGTTTAGAAGTGCAGCCTCCCGAACCACCAGACAAAGCCAAATATAGGTCTGTGGTTGGTGTCACTGTGTCCGGTTTGTCTGTGGTGATGACATAGCCATAACTAACTAGGATGCTGGCCTTTGAAGAGTGGTGCTGGGATCTCTCTAACCATACAGACAGAAATGAGAAGAGAACACAGGCTGACTGACAGGAATACATGAGCAGGCAGATGTCAATGTGTACACACTGCATTCTCAGTATGCAATTGTTTACATGATGAAGTGAAAACTTGGCAGCAGCAGAGGAGCTGCTAGGACAATGTCATCTTTAATTACTGTACTAAAAATACATTATTTACTTTCTTTAAACTTCCATCTGGATTTCTAGACATCATGGGATACATGTATGAGAATTTCACTTTGAACAAATCCCTGGATTCACACAACTGTATCCTTGATTCTTAGCCAATTAACTTACTCTTCCTAAAACATAATGTTGTTGGTACATTGTTTAGTCAGTTGCTCATGTTAAATAAGTCTGAAACTTTGATAGGTAAAAAGTATTACAGGACATTTACACTAGTTTCATTTCCACAATATTTCTTGACTAATAATAGCATGATGAAATAGATGTTTTAAAGAAAGGATAAACAAAAAAGCTGAAATATAAAAAGGTAAAATAATAGCACATGTATCTTCATGCCCACACATTTAGAAACTGTTCACCTGGTGGCAAAGTAAAGGTCATGCATGAAATCGGTCGTGCGTCTATGCTGATTTCTAAAGCCCTTCGCTGGAGGCAGACAACAGGCTCAGGCAGGTTCTGACTTTGCCACATGGACAAGTCTTCAGTGGAAATCAAATAATTACTTCATGACATTTAAATTAAGGTCAGCAGCAGGCAGCAGAGAGGCAGACATATAAGTGTCAGAGCTCTGCATATTCAATATATTCAAGCATTTGTTTAAACCAAAGAATATTTAGAAACTTCAAGGTAAAATGAAAGTTATCATTATCTCTAAATGCTCCTACTGTAATTCAAGAATATTTGGCCCCACTCAGTCCAAGATACCATTAGTGTGCCTCTGACAGGATACAAACTCTAAAGAATATAATTATTGTAATGACAGGCTCACAGCTCTTCTGTCTCTACTGTTATAATATTGTAGAAGTGAAAAGTCAAGATTAAAGCTGCAAGTATAACAGTTATCATTTAGATCCACGCAGCATGCCACACACCAGAGTAAGTGGTAGTGAGAGTTTTTGTATGCAAACATGCTTGTACGTGAAATGCCAGAACACCAAAACATTCCTGATGGCAATTTAACATTTAACCTGCCAGACACACGTGAGGCCATTTCTTCAAACCTGTTTGAGAAAACTACTTTGCATGACATTTGCTTTAAAGTTTTAGTTTTCTGACTTCTGACCTGTAAATTGGGCTGCATTCTGTTCAGACATGTTTGTTAGAAGATGCTTTTCTTTACCAACCGTGTGCTAATTTTGGGGAAGGTGGATGTTTACCAGTGCTCTCACTTGCAAGGAAGCATCTACCCTCAGAAAACACAGATAAATGATTCGTTTTATTGCATTCGTGGAGTTTTCAATTGACTAATTTTCCTGTCTCTTTAGTAACTTCCAACTTTGCTAAGAATTACTTTTAACAAAGTAAATACCCCAAAAATACCCATTTCAATAAAATGTTTAATGTATCAAGACAATATTTTACAATAAAGTAATAATAAATCACAGAAAAGGTGTTAATCCCCACATTGTTTTATATAATTGTGCCTCAGTGCAGTCACTACATTTGTTAACAAAATTAACCTTGTTCTCTTGGTCTGCACTGTATTTTAATATCTTTCTCACAGTTACATTTCCTTTAGCTGAAGTATATTTTCGAAGTTTAGCAGGGAGTGAGGCAGGGGAGTCAGATAACACAGGATGTGGATGGAAGAGGACTGCCACGTCTTCGCCCCTCCCCGCCGAGGGAAACTCATGAGTGGACCCAACACTTCTCAATGGAGTCTGGCTGGTTTCACCAGGAATAACCCCTCAGTCACCCCTATAAAGTTGCTGACAGCAGGGGGTCTTTTCATTTCTTAAGGACCGCAGATGCCATTTGTTGACTCCTAAACTAATTAAGATAGTTAAAGTTAACGGTTCCCACACGAATGTGACGTAAAAACAGTTTGCAGTGAACGTTCGTTCGTGTCCCCAAATAGACTAATACCATAGACTCACTGAAGTGTGCAATATGGCAGACCATGCAGAATGCATAAACAAATAAATCCTTGTATAATATGCTGCTAATGTATCGAAATACGTGTGATAATATAGAGCAGAGCCTAGGAAGCAGCATCCCACGCTGCATTGCACTGGAATGCCATAACATTGACTGAGTTTCATAAGAAAATTCAGGCACCGTTTACTTAACTGGCTATTTGTTAACATTAACCTTTTCAACTGAATTTTGCAAATATGACTCCCTTCAACCCAATGCAGTTTTTGTATATTATCCACTGCTGTCGAGAACCATTACACATAAAGTTTCGTCCAGGTTAGCTAGTTTTTTAGCTAGCTAGGCAAGCTAACCTAACTTTAACGTTCTAGAATGTTCAACGGTCCCAAGTGAAAAACAATAGAAAACGGACAGTTCAAATCTGCAGGGTGATATGACAGCTAACGTTACCTAAAAACGCTCTAGATGTGAATTGCTCTTGCTTTCTTATCTGATTCAGAAGTCAATATTTACCTAAACGAGAGCATCCTGTAGCAGAAATATGTGTAATCCCGGCTCTTGTGTCGTATGAAGTCTCGACTCCAACCGGTCACGGTGCAGGTAACGGGGACAAAATGAACATCTGCTGGTGTGTAAGGACCTCTATGGTAAGGACGGGATTCCTAGAAGTCTGAATGCTACGTGCAGATTCTCACATGCATAAAGTCTCCTACGACCAGACTTTGGGGGCTGGCGTTGCTATGGGAGGTGTCTTAGCCCGTGGTGAGACAGTCATGGATGAGTATTTGGGGTATAAATGTAAAAAAAGAAGAGAATGTGTGCTAGCAAACATCACACCTCTGCCAGATGTTGAAATTGTGCCGCAACAATTATATGTGATGTTGTTGTTGTTGTTGTTGTTGTTGTTGTTGTGTGGTCCATGCTATATTGTCCACCAATTAAGAATGTGCAATTGTAGTTTGATTGACATAAATATTTGACTAAGCATGTGTAGCCTAGGTTCAGTACCCCATTCAAACTGATGTTATATTTAATTTGGCATTGTTGTACTTGGCTGAAGCTCCTTTTCAGCATTTTCACCTGCAGTCTCTGCCTCTTTCTCCACATTCCAGAATATGTCTTCCGACCGACCAAAAAAAAAAAGTATGACTGGAGGGAGAGAATTCCTGCTGTAGCCTATGCAACTGAGTTCAACTAGTTCAACAGGGAGGAGCTGTGTGTGTGTGTGTGTGTGTGTGTGTGTGTGTGTGTGTGTGTGTGTGTGTGTGTGTGTGTGTGTGTGTGTGTGTGTGTGTGTGTGTGTGTGTGTGTGTGTGTGTGTGTGTGTGTGTGTGTGTGTGTGTGTGTGTGTGTGTGGGTGTGTGGGGGTGTGTGTGGGTGTGTGGGGGGGGGGAGGGAAGGAGAGAGAGTGAGAGAGAACAACATCTCAGCAAGCTAAATCTCAATGACATTGCAAAGGGGCTTTTAAACCAAGCAGTTATGTTAAAATGGAACAAATCAAAACTTTAACTGTATATTATACACTCAATTCTCCTGCTAAATTGCTGCTCTCCCTCCCTAGAATTGACCCCGCACTGTGAAATAAAGACCAACAAAATGACAAACAGGCTCAACATTATGTTTTTTTTGTGTATCCATTAGGATGTCCATTTATTTTGACAACCTTGCATGTACATACTGTTGAACAGACTGCATTCCTCAGAATATCAGAACTTTTCAATTTAAATAAGGAAACCTGGAATAAAATTGAAGAAACCTTTGTAAATTATGTTAAACGCTAAAAATACATTTTATTGGTAAACATTCTATCAAAGCAAAATGTCATAACAGGAAATATATTAGAATGAGTCATACATAGGTCATCAAATGAAACATGTTATTGTTGTATTCGAAGCATAGCACAGTTTGGGAGTTTGATGGAGAAGCAAGGTTATTTTTAAACTTGTGGGGGAAATACCTTTATATATACAGTCTATGGGAAATACTCCTATCCAGGCTTGAAGAGTCTCTTGCAGTTCAAATTGCAATGCTAACATTGAGCAGAAACAATGTTGACTATGATCCCCATGTATGATTAATGATGTTATCATAGTAACATTAGCTCATTAGGGCAAAGCTGACAAGAATAATAATAGTTTTCCAGTTATTTGGAATGAAAGAAAGCATTGGAAACATTGAATGGTAAATTGACCTGGGCTGCACCCATCCTCTGCATACAGCAGGTTTACAGAATACTTCTGCAGTTCGATACAGCTGATGAGACAGCCGAGCACAGAGTGGATCACCGTCACAGCGGCCCTCGCTGTCACCACGTGGCTGTCTTCATACCTAACAAACACATTTAATTATAGTGTGTACAAAAATATACCTGTAACTTTATTTATTTTTTTATTTCCTATTCTGTGGGCCCGAGCCCATTTGTTCCTCCTTCAGATAGAAAGCACAGGTCCTTATTATTAAGTATTTATTATACATTATATTTATTCAGACAACCCACGTCCCACAGAGATCCAGATATGGACTGCCTGCATTAACCACTGAGCTATGCAGCGGCTTGAGCTGGCAGGATTGATTTTAAATGACTTGACACTTCACATTACTTTTTTTTCTTCCTCCCTCGGTGGGAGTGTCCCCTTTAGGCTGGCAAGGACGCTATATTTTTCAAAACTCACAAAAATAATAAAGGAAATGAAAACATAAAAAGTCCTGTACCTTTGTGAATGTTTCTTTCTTAAAGCAGCAAACAAAAATCTTTGTCCGCATTTACTGAACAGAATTGTAAATGTGTATTAATAAAAAATGTGTTGCACATTTATTTATATTCAATATTTTTTTCAAATTTTATATAAAAATGTTTTTAAAAAGTAATGTATTTCATTCTTATATTTATCACTTAATTTGTTTAGTTTAACTTTTTTTTCATGTTAAATATCTTATTTTTCAAGTATTTTTTCTATTTTTGTTATTATTATGTCATTATTTTATTTGTATTTAATTTGTTCTGTACTCTACCGTTTCAGTTACATTTTACAGGGTTGGGTTCTATGTTTATTAGGGTTACAAGGCGACACAAATATATTGTTAAAGAACATTTGTTTGAACTCATCGCCGGAAGTAACCATACATTTTTCACATCTGTTCCAGAAAAACCAAAGGACGTGTGTCGGGTTTCCTGAATAAGTAATTTCGAAAAAACTGGACTTAAGCCTCTGTTTCTTTCTAATTTGACCCTCTCTTTCATTCTTACTTTACCGAACTTCTGTTTTTCTTTCAATTTTTTACACCGCAATTACCTGCCCACCTGTACACCTGACAGTACATGTTTTACAAATGTTCCAAAAAAACACAAATTTGCCATTTTACCTCTCACATTTTGGGGATTTGAACCACTGACAAACGTTTTTACGAGAGTTTGCGAGAGCTATTATTTTTTAAAGAACTTGAATAGTTCCTCTCCGGCAGCTCAGTGAGGTAAAATAACAAAACAACAGAGTATGCTGGGAGTTGAACCACTGGCCCTCTGGTTGGAAGACATCCATTTACCCCCTTGAGCCAAAATCACACACAGATCCATTAACATCTTACTTTACATCATAACATTAGAAATACATGTTACATACATTAAATATATATAATAATGTGTGTTCTGTTTTATTCTCATAGATTTATTTATTCCTGGGAGGCGTGTGGCGCAGTGGACTAGTGCGTTGATGTTCGGATCAGGGGAGCACAGGTTCAAACCCCACTGCAGTCAGCATGCTGATGTGTCCCTGGGCAAGACACTTCTCCCCAAATTGCTCCTGTGGGGATTGCCCACAGTTTTGAGTATGTAAGTCGCTAACAAGTAATATGTAATGTATTTCAGTTTTTTTGCCACATTTATTTATTCTTTTATTTTTGTATTACTGTATTTATTCCTGTATTTATGCTGCATTTATTTACTTTTTACTTCTGTCATGTCCTGTGTGCTCGTTGTGTGCATAAAGATACAAATTCACTCAAAATCACATCACAGCATGAATTATAGTTGGGCATTCATTGTTTTAAAAACACATTGGTGGTTCAGAGGTCTATTACTTTTTGTAGATATGACTTTACACACCACAAATAGTCTTCAGATGATATATGTATGGAATGGATTATGGTAGACATTTATGGATTATCTTCAATGGGTTACAGTCCAAACAAATAAACTTCCACAGTCCTAAAATCAATGCTCTCTTTGTGAAGTTGAAATGGATGGGTTTATAAAAAGCTGGTAACTTTTGAGGCCTGTCTACTCTGTTTTAAAATCAGTATAGTATATGATAGAGCACTCACCTCTCTGTGCTGCGACAGTCCAGGATGAGAATATAGTGAGGATCATACAAAGCAGGCTGGCCTTCCTCTGCACTCAGCAGGTTGTACACTTGTTGTGGGGTGATGTACCCTTCTCTACAAAAGCTGTTACTGGAAGAGCGGGAACCAGCACCTCCTCTGGGCTGCTCACTACTTACATGGAAGAAATAGAAGAAATACAAAAAAATACAACATCTGCATGCATGTGTGCGAATAAAGACAGAGAGTTGGATGTAAAAAAAGACTCCCTTTACCTTTGTTCTGAATAGGTATGATGGAGGAGAGGTCGCTGTCAGTACCGTTGAGCGCTCTGTCACAGATGCAGCTCACCGTTTGGGATGTGTTGACAGGCTCTCTGGAGGCCGATCTACAACCGGAATTCACTCTGACACGAACACAGAGACACATGCGCATAGTGCAGTGCATTCTCAACGTAATGCAACCTGTGAGTTGGATGTAGAAGAGTCAGAATCAATATAGATGTTTTTTATTTTAAAGAAAATTCAGATTGAACATAGTAAAAAACTGTAAATTATAGTGTCCGTCCAAAAATTCTTTTTTACTCATAGTGAAAACTACCATTGGATGATGGTAAGGTAGACTAAAAGCTTTAGGAATCCAAAGAACAACATATAATAAGTACCCTGTATCCAGATTGATGCAAAACAAGTGACGTGTGACCTTTTTAGAGAGGTTTAGCAAAAAACCCCACTTCTGGGGTCATTTGGGTGGATTTTCCATATCTCTGGACCCCCTTGGTCGATTTTGCTGATTGACATCTCTTTCTAACCGTCAGAGCCAATGGAATCGAGGGAAAGTTACCCATACACACATAGCTTACCAAATAAGGAGTGAGAGAGACGCGTAGAAAAACCGATAGCTGCGCTAACCTCTGGTGGCTACCATTAGAAGCACATTTTTCTTCTCCGATTTTTGCATACAAAATTGAATTATGGATTATCAATACTTTTTTCAAAGTGACAGACACATTGCTATAACCTATGGATTAACCTTCAGCTGCGTTTTTTCTCGTTTTAATGCCATTGAACACGACTTTTGATCAGAATAACAGCTAAAGTGAGCATATCTCCGTGTTTTGCTACCTAAAGCTACTCGTGTGTTGTCTGTCTTTGCTTCCCCTGTCACGAGTTCTGATCGCTCAGTGAGGATCCTTATATTTCTATAATCTGTGGTCTCTCAGGATGTTATCTAAGCTTGTTTGTGCAGATCCAATAAGTATATCGATCAGTGTAGCTAGAGTTCTGTGCTAACGGCCTTAAGATTGTTTCGCTCGTAGCTAATTCAGAGGCTCGGCGCTAGCTTTGTGGGTTTAAAAAAAAAAATCAGTTAGCTGAGTTTCTTCCCGTTTACATAGATATAAAACATTCATAGTTTATTGAATATTAA